CCACAAGAGTCCTGGGGAGTCTGGGGGGACATCAGTGAACAAAATGGACAGATTTCCCCTTACACAGAAGGGACACCGAATGTCAACAGTGCATGTTGTGGAAGAATGGAAAGTACGGAGAGTGGGAAGGAGTGGGTTGGAGGACAACAGAGAGGCTGGGTCAACTGGAGGGGAGGAAGGGGGTGGGGTGGGAGTGAGTGTAGGTGGGGTGTCGTCAGCTGCCTGCCCTCACAAGATCCTGTTAGGACTTTCTGCTGGGAAGTGGGTCTCGATGCTGCTGACTTAACAAATCACTTGGGACTTCCCAAACACCCAGGCCTGAGAAGAGCTCTTGAGAAACTAAGTGATTCTGAGACAAGGGCAGAGGGTCATCGGGCCCCCTCTATTGGCGGGGTGGGGGGGGTATGTCCGAGGCATGCCTTTCCACCAGGCTTCCTGCTTGGCAGGAACTTGGGGCTTTGATTATCCTTGAAGATAGCTGGCAGCTCACCTAGTTCAGAAAGTAAAGACTGCACAATGGAGAAGATGCAGGCTGGCTTGCTTCACTTCATGTCCCACGGTGAAATCGATTTGGGCCTGCCTAAAGCCCAGACTGAGTGATTGCCCTCTCTCCCAGAAGCTTCCAGAATATGTGCCGTAGATGTTTGGAATTTTCTTCTAGGCACCTGAGGGTAGGAATGCAGCTTAAATGCTCTCAGAATCTTCCCTGTGATTAGATAACATTGGAGTTTAATAAATATCAAGTCAGTATTCTATGGGGCTTGGGCCTAGTAGAAATTCATTTTACATAGATAACTCCTGATAGCTGGCCTTCGGCGTTTGTGTGTGTTTAACGCTTATTTTTATAGTTGTCAAGTGAAAGTTCTAAGTCTGTCTTTGAAGAAATTAAAATATTAATGAACTTTTTTCCTTTGAGTTTTTAAGGTGAATATACACGTGGTTCTAGGTTACAAAGGAAAGTGTTTTGGGGTGTACCTGAATTAAGGGGGAAGTTGGTGGGGTGAAGAAAGGGGCATTGATTGGAATCTGGGGAGAGAACACAGGCCCTGGGCCTGAGAGGTCCCAGGAACTGAGAGAGCTTGCATTAGGAGGCTTTTCAAGAACTGAAAAGACAGGCAGAGGCCCAGTTAGTGCTCAAGGACTTTTCTGAGGGGTTTGGATTGTAACTCTGAGAAAGTCAGAGTTGAACAGTTCTTGGCAGAGATGGGATATAAGGAACGATGTGGTTGGTGGAAAGCCGGCTAGGTTGTCCATGGACCTTGTTAAGGTTGAGGACCTGGAGTGGTTTACCAAAGATTCCTCAAAGGAAGAATCCAGAACAAAACAATATACCAGGTCCTAGAATACACTGGTGGCTAGGGAGTGACATTACTATGGGGAGGTGTTGGGTGACTCCCAGGGGAGTCAGCCCTGCTTACAGTACGCTTACATTGCTTGGAGAGCTTTTATAAAAAAAGGTGTCCATGCTGTTGACTGGATGGTCTTTGGCCTTTGTAGAAAGTCCCCCAAGGCAGTGCTACCACCATTCAGGCATGAGAGTCACTGTGATCCCTGATGTTTTACTACCTCTCTGTCTTTGTGGACCAGATGCTTCTCCAGATGACCCACCCATGAGCCACACCCACGAAGGGAAGGTGGGCAGTTACTAAAGCCATTGTGTGCATCACTGACCTCCTTGACCTAGTGGAGAGGCTGGATAAACTGACCCTTTCCTCCCTTTTGAAGGAATCTGTGTCATCCAGGGGCAGGAGTGAATCTTGATTTGGATTTGAAAGCTCCGCTTGCCTGCCCATAGCTAGGACAGCTCTCTGTCCCTGTGAACCTTTGCCCACACATACGTCTTTTTTCAGGACTTCCAAGGAGTTGGGGGAAAATGCTTATGATTTTTTGTAGCATTCCCTGATTTCTTAGCATTTCTTTGAAGAAACATGTGTTATGGCATGCAATGAGCGTATTGGGAAAGAAGTAAAGAAATCCACCATGGAAATATTGCAGCCCACTTAAACTTGTGGGCTGTCCCTTGACCTGCTTGGATTGGCAGAGTTCAGTAGTGGAATGACTGGCTCAGAGAGCGTCAGCAGACTTATTGTTAGAGTGTAGTGGAAAAAGGAAGGGTCATCCCAGCTAGCCAGGAAATGTGTAAATATGGGCTAAGGGCTCCCAGCCGTGCATAAAGGATCTCTACACTCATCTTGTGTGCAGAACTGTGAATGACCAATGACTAAGCTGCTTCCAAGAAAAATTTCCTGTTTCCTCCTTAACGTGTTTGTTGCTTTTGCTTAGCAGAACGCTTGTCTACAAGTTTCACTGTGCTGCCATTGTACTTTCAAGTGTCTGGTGGCCTTTCTGTTTTAAAAACATCATCCTCGCTGCTCTCATACTACTCAGCCGCACTCAAGGAAAAGGTCTATCCTTAGAGCCAGGTAGATGTGTGCAGCAGGGGCAGATGCTAAGGTGACTGGCTCACAGTATATGGTGCTCTTTGATTGTGTGTGTGTGTGTGTGTGTGTGTGTGTATCTGTACATATGCACACGCCGTGGTATGTTTAGGTCATGTTAGGTCCTGGTATGGCATAGGTCAGAGTACAGGTTTCAGAAATTCATCCTCTCTCTCTCCTCCATGGGCTCTGGGATCAAACTTTCGTAATCAGGCTTGTACAAGAATACTGTTAACCCACCCAGGTATCTCTCTGGCTCTTTTTCAATATCGTAATCTTTTTTCATTGCTACATTTCCCCCAAAGGAAAAGTCTACTCTACACAAAGAAACTAACATTCTGCTGGGTAGGGTCTTTCAGAGCCCTTCTGTGGTAGGCTCCTGTCCTGTTTTCTGTTTCCTCCCTCTTCCCATGTCTATCCTGTTTGACTTTCTGAAGGAGGATTGAGCATCTTACCCAGGGTCCTCCTTCTTGCTTAGCTTCTTTAGGTATACAGATTTTAATATTTTATCCTATATTATGTGTCTAATATCTACTTATAAATGAGTATATACCATGTGTATCTTTCTGCTTCTGGGATACCTTACTCAGGATGATCTTTGTCGAAGCAGATGCTGAGACCCATAGTCAAACTTTGGGCAGAGTGCAGGGAATCTTATGAAAGAAGGGGGAGACAGAAAGACTTGGAGGAGACAGAAGCTCCACAAGGAACTAAAACATCTGTCCCTTGATTTTAGTTTAACAGAACTAAAAAATCTGGGCCCAGAGGTCTTTTCTGAGACTGATACTCTAAACAAGGACCATGCATGGAGATAACCTAGAACCCCTGCACAGCTGTAGCCCATGGCAGCTCGGTGCCCAAGTGGGTTCCCTAGTATGGGGAACAGGGACTGTTTCTGAGGTGAACTAGGTGACTGGCTCTTTGATCACCTCTCCTGAGGGGTACAGCCTTGCAGAGCCACAGAAGAAGACAGTGCAGCCAGTCCTGATGAGACCTGATAGGCTAGGGTCAGATGGAAGGGGAGGAGGGGCATGGGAAGAGAAGAGGAAGCGAGGGTGGGACTGGGAGAGAATGAGGGAGAAGGCTACAGCTCAGATACAAAGCGAATAAATTGAGATAGATAGATAGATAGATAGATAGATAGATAGATAGATAGATAGATGAGAAAAATTAAAAATGAAAAAGAAAAAGACTGAAAAAGACTGGAGTCAGGTAATCCGCATCTGTATACCATACCCAATGCGAGCAGTGAAGTCCCTCTACTATGCTTTAATACCCCTCTGGGCTCTTCCCTGTCAGGTCTTGAGTTTAGTAATCCTACTTTTATCTCTACTGGAATGATTCATACAAGCACTGCTTATCATGCAGTTTAATAACAACAGTCCAGTGTCGTCCTTATTTCAGTTTGGGTATTAACTAGCTTGGAAAAAAATCACATCTTTGTTTTTACCTTGGTGTGTGCCCAAGTAATGATAGTCTTACTTGCCTTAATGAATTAAGGGTTTTAGAAGTTACTCTTCTTGAAAGGACAAATTAAAAAAACTGGGATGGTGTGTGGAAACCTTAAAGTTAGTAGATAAAAGAAATATGTATGTATTTGTAATAGTGGTCCCCAGACTGACATCTGGCTCAGTGAAGATGGGAATCTGGGATTGATTAAGCAGTGTTGAGACGTCTGTAAAGAAGTGAATAGCCCTAAATAGCTAAGCACTCTTAACAGCCTGAAGAAGGTAGGAAGAGGAGTTGAAAGGAATATTCTTTGTGCAAACACAGAAACTAATTAACGTGTCCGGGACCTCCTCTGTGAGTCAGTTTTAACAGGATTGTAAATACGTGCTCGAGTGAGTTTTAACACAGTGTGTCAGTTGCTCTTGGCCTCTCTGTTTATCAATACTATCTACAACATGTTTAACCACAGGGAAGGGGGCCCTTTATTAGGCATTTAGCCTGCCAAGAGGCTGGGAGTCCGTGACTTTCGTGCCCTCAGTTTCTTGAGGCAGCCTGGGTCTCTCTCTACTGATGAGTACGCTTGCTCCTAAAGGCTGTTAAAATGCCCGGGCCACTGGTGTCACCAGGCTGTAACTGTTCTCAGTCAGGTTCTACCCTAGGGTGTAAGGGTGTATCTATCTGGTGGGGTTTTGTTGAAGCAGAAACTAATGAGCCTTGTTAGGCCGTTTGAATTTCAAATAAGTCATTCAGCCTGGTCTGTGCATTGTTTTTGGATGTATGTCTAGAAGTAGCATAGAGTAACCTAATGCTGGGACCCCATTTGAGGTTTGTTTGTTTGTCTTGATTTCTGCAGCACTAGGGATCAAACCCAGGGCCTTGCTTGTGACTACACCACTGAGTTACAACCCCAGCCCCTTCAGTTATGACTGAAATGATGTATAAAATGTAAGCCATTTGGTATCAAGTGGACCTTTCGTTGGTTCATTTGTCTGTCGGTATATGTTGCTTTATGGAAGTTGTATTTTACATGTCTGATAGGATCAGTTTATTAATACAGGAAAACCACACAGGGGAGTAATGTGGCTAACAAATCTGTCTTCTGTTTGTCTCTAGAAATTGAAGCCAAGGAAGCTTGTGATTGGCTGAGGGTAACTGGTTTCCCCCAGTATGCACAGCTTTATGAAGGTAAGACAAAAATGCCTTCTTATTTTAAGCCAGCTTAGTCACAGTACTGAGTTCATGAACAGTGCTGATCTAGGAGTTACTTGAAGACATTTTGTCACTTAGTTAAGTATTTCTTTTTTTTTTATTTTTTAATAAAACAATGGCATAAGTACACAAGGCTCCCACCATTCAAAACAAGAAAAACTAGACCCTTGATAATAATGGAGTGGTCTTGTCCCTCTGCAAAGAGTAACCTGTGTCCTGAAAATTCTCTATTGGTTTTCGTGTTCTTATTTTCTGTAATTTTATTAAAGTTCTTGAAAGGTATACTTTGTGTAACATCTAGCTAGCTTTTTTTTTTTTTTAAAGAGGAAAAATGGTATTATGTAGAGTTAATTTGCCCATGTAATGTTATATTAAGATTCCTCTACCCTGTGTGTTCCCATAGCTTATTTTCATTGACCTCTATATAATACTCCATCAAATGGATTGAAGATCATTCTGTCGGTTATCTGTACTCTAGTTGGTGGGCATCTCAGTTGTTTTATTTTTATAACTGTTAATTTGAACATAGGTGGTGCCTATGTTTTGTAATACATGTTTTGTAATAATTTAACTTGCACGAGCCTAGAAATAAGGTTTCTTCGTAATGAAGGGCCCTGCACATGGAGGAATGCTGTTTGCAGGCTGGCTTTCTCAGATAGATTCCCCTAGACCATCTGCCTAACTGTGGCCCCACCCACAGTAAGTTTGGACCCTCCCATGTCAGTCATTAACTAAGAAAATGCCAAATGCACTTGCCTATAGGCCAGTTTGATAGATTTCTCAGTTGTGGTTCTCTTTTCCTAGAAGACCCTGGCCTGTGTCAACTTGACAGGGTACTGGGGACAAACAAAGAACAGTTGCAGCTAACTCATTCTCCAAGGCTCTGGTTCCCCAGGCTGACATCATGTACACTGCATCTATTGAGATGGATTAGCCCATTTACTCAAATGGGAGACCTAGTATTCATACATGAATTCATTTCATAGTGATGGCAGCTTTAAAATAGTGAACTCCGTTAATAGACAATTTTCTTTTCTTTGAAGAGTTACATTTTTATTTATTATTTAAAATGTTTATGTAATATATTTTGATCTTGTTTTCTCCTCCCAGAACTCCTCCCAGATCCTACTCACTTCACTTAATGGTTTCTCTGTGTCTGTCTGTCTGTCTGTCTGTCTGTCTCTCTCTCTCTCTCTCTCTCTGTTGATACAAATAAACTCTTTCTGACTCCTATAGGGCTCCCTGAACCCTTAGGGGAGGGATTTGATGGAGATATCCCAGTTAAGGCTAAGTGGTCCAAGGTTTCTCACTCTCTGACTAATGTTTAGCTGTGAGTCTTTGTATTTATTTTCATCTGCTGCAGAAGGAAGTTTGCCTGATGATCACTGAGAACAGCAGCACTGAGTACAGCAGAATGTCATTAGAAGTCATTTTGCTGCTACAGGGTTTGTTTGTTTGTTTGTTTGTTTGGTTGGTTGGTTGGTTGCCTCTGTTTTATTTTAAGATCACTAGTATTTGGTTTTACCCAAGCTCCCCAGGCTCTCTAGCCTCAGATTCTTGGCCACAACCAGGCAGTGTAAGGTATGGTTCCATTTCATGCAATGGGTCTTACGTCAAATCAGATCTTGGTTGGTTACTCCTATAAGCTTTGTGCCACTATTGCCCTAGCCATCTTGCAAGCAGGAAGATCAAAGGATTTGTGGCAAGATAGGCATTTATGTTTCTCTTTTGGTGTTGTGTAGAGTACCTTCTTGTACTAGAATGCAGGGGTGAAGGCTCTCATTTTATAGATAATTTTCAAGTACAATGAGGTGACTTGTGGAATGATTCCTAACCTAAGATACATAGTCTTTCTTCTGGTAGTACCCAGTGATTATTTACTTTTACGTTCTGAAATAGATTACTGTCCCTTGATTTCACAGCATATCTGCAATTTCTTCTTGTTTTATTTTGGTTTTCAACACTACACTTAACATGGTAAAATTGGTTACCTTCAGATAGAACTTCTAACCTATTAAAAGGCCTATTTGGAGGTAGAAGCAGGAACAGCACTTGTTGCTTTTCTAATTTACAGCTCTCCTGGAGATAAAGATAATTGGATTCACAGTGGCTGGACCTTTGGTATCCTCTTTAAGAATTAAGTTTCCTTCAATCATGTCCTTTTGGGGTGTTGATTTGCTGCGGGGACCTTCTTGTGCCTGTTGGTTTTGGTATATCCAATTTCCAGCCCCTGTCTTACTTTCAAGGTTCTAAAATGCAGGCTCCATTTTCCTGGGTGATATCTGGGATCTCCCACACCTGCCCAGGTCATTGGAAGCATAGGCTGACTCTGGGATGTGCCATGCCGTCCGTGTCCCTGGCCAGGTGAACAAGCCGTACATGTTCAGAGGCATAGTAGCACACAGATCCCCGCATCTTCCAATTTGCTCCATTTGTTGCCTGGCTATTTGCACTTCCTGCCTCTGAACTTCCAACTTCCAGGTTGGGTTCAAGACCATTTCTTCTACCATCACTAAACCATTATCTTTTAAAGACTATTTCCTTCAGAACACAGTCTGAGCAAGTAAGAGAAAACTGAACTCTTGAATTCCTCACACTCATCACTGGATGTTTTTGTTATAAAACAGAATTGTTCATTTGGATCAGAAAAGTGACCTTAGTCCAGTCCAGCACAGTAAGTTAGAGTGTCTAAAATTACATCATTGCTTTTTCACACAGGCAAGGAAGTAATACTTCATATTTGCATTTATAGATTTCATTCTATTTACTACCTTAAATTATATTCTTTTATTTGGGCTGATTGTTTAATGAAGTCTGAGTTCCTAAAGGCTGGGCCATGTGCTCCTGGATCTGTTCAGTAATTTGAATTCTACTGGAAAGGCCATTTATCAACATTAATAGCTGAGCTGCATAAGAGGATACCTTGCTTTTCTACCTTGCTTTTGTCATGTTTCCATCATTCCTGGGCGTCTTTCTTCTTCCTGCTCTGCCAGGATTTCACTGTAATTATGGCTGGTCTGAAACTTCTGTGTATACCATTCTGGCTTGAAATTCACAGAGATCTACCTGCCTCTGCTGTGATTAAAGGCCTGTACATGTCTGGTAATTGAAGAGACTTTTATTTCAAAAGCTGGAACCCAAGAAGCTATTTAATTTTTTCTTTTATTTTCAATTAACGTGTGTGTGTGTGTGTGTGTGTGTGTAGCATGGAATATCATTATATTACATGTATATAATATGTAGTAATCAGGACAGAGTAATTGGCATAGCTGTAATTATGATTATTGCTTTGTCTGGGGGAGCATTCAGTATCCTCTCTCGACTAGTCATTTGGGAAAAGACAATCATGGTCACTCATAGGCATCTTATTAACACAACATGGTATTAGAAGTTATTCCTCTTCACCAACTTCCTTTCTGAACCCTTTCACCATCCCTCCCTCCACCACCCTTTCCACCCCCCACCCCCATAGACCTCCACAATCCCAGGCTTGTCGTCACTGTTTCACTGTCTCTGGGAATCTTTTCAGGCAGTACCGAGGAGGAAGTTCTTCCAGCTTTCAGGCTGTTGCAAGTGGGTCATTGTTCTGAGAGAGCTGGACTCATACAGATGTGGGGGCTTGGCCGCCATTGTTTTACTGTAGGTTTAGGGTTAGTCCTTTGTTTTACTGGGCAGTAAAAGCCCCTTGGTCACCGTAGGGAAATGCTAATATTTGTTTTAAAATAGCATATCTTAAATTCTCTGCAATGTATCCTATCATGCAAATAGACTCATCTCTCCAGCTGCCCCTTGCCATTGTTCCCTGAATCTTTCCAGGCCTCAGTGCTGTTTTGTTTTTGCTTCTGCTTTTGTTTTTCTCCCCCCCCCCCCCCCCCCCCCGTTCCCTGATGACGTGTGAGCAAGGACATTTTTTTAAAGCCACATTACAAAGGAGACTTCTTATACTGGATTCATTCTGGCTTAAATTATAACTTAGAACAGGTGTTTACTGCCTGCTAATTAGTTTGAAGGAGGAAAGTGAATGGAACCACTTCTGTGGCAGAGGAGGAACCTTGGAGTTTCTAAACTTCTTTAGAGCTGGTTTAGACCACACATGGGCTCTGCAGCTTCGTGTGCCCACATAGCTTGTTAGGGATCCTGTGAACAATAGATGCTCAGCACATTGTCAAAGGAGGCTACTGTGTCAGGCTCCTAGGAATTCCACAAATGTTCTTGTTTGTGTTCTTCTTACAGATCTCCTGTTTCCCATTGATATTTCCCTGGTCAAGAGAGAACATGATTTCTTGGACAGAGATGCCATCGAAGCTCTCTGCAGGTAAACTGACACTTTCTTTCAGAAACATGGTACTTTTATCTTAGCAAAGGCAGGTAGATCTGAGTTCAAGGCCAGCCTGGTCTACAGAGTGAGTTCCAGGGCTACACAGAGAGACACTGTATGGGGGGGGGAGAGAAAGAGAGAGAGAAAGAGGGAGAAAGAAAGAAAGAAGGAAGGAAGGAAGGAAGGAAGGAAGAAAGAAAGAAAGAAAGAAAGAAAGAAAGAAAGAAAGAAAGAAAGAAAGAAAGAAAGAAAAAGAAAGAAAGAAAGGCTAGTCATCTCTCAGCCTTGGTTTGCTTTCTACTTAATCCACGTGAGGTCTTCGATTATCAAATGATAAGAGTGATTTCTATTACTGTGCTATAGACCATTTGAAGAACACTAAAGTAAAATGCTGTTATGTAATAGTATGACCGACATAGCATCCACACTGTCTTTGGAGACCCCTTAGGTAGCACTGGCCCATATTTTGCTGCCATTTGATAGCAAAAGCAGCAAACTCTCTGGTGGTTTGGAAATGCGGCTTTTGGGAAGAATTCATGGATCTGCCCACAGGCACCATGAAGGAGTCAAAGCTGCCACTGTATTGAGTGGGGTGAGACAGTCACGGGGGCGGGGCTAGGCCTTAGTACAGCCAGTCAGGGCTGTCATCTGAATTCCAAGGAGGCTCCTCAGGACCTCCAGCCGCCCCAGGTAGGGTGACGACAGGATTAAATAGGCTGTAAACCCGCTGCACAGTCCCCCATGTATAGGAGACAGGCAGTAAACCAGCATTGATGTGAGCTGAGAATAAAGCTGTCAGAGGTCCTGTTCAGGGTGCTGGTTGCTCTCCAGGCTAAGAAGCAGCTTGTGGGGTTTAGAGAAGTGAACGTAATAAAAACCTGAGGCTACATGGGCCTCAGATAATCCTTTCAAACCCTGGATAACATTTTTATTCACCTCCCATTATTCATCCCTTTGTAGTTTTCTCAAACCTCGAAGCCTTCATAGCCCCGTTCTGAGGAGAATATATATATACAGGCAGAATTCACATGTTGATATGATTCTAAAGTTAAAATCTTTTCATTTCCATGAGTTCTAAAAGACCTTGATTCTTTACGTGTGTGTGTGTGTGTGTGTGTGTGTGTGTGTGTGTGTGTGTGTGTGT